GGGGAATTAGATTGCTCTCTAATAACAACATGAAAGAAGCAAGGAGATTCGGAAATAAGTTGGCACATAAATGACATACTTATTTTAGGAACTCAGAAATCATTGGTGCAAATAAATGCATATAAAGCAATCTGTTACTGTGACTGACTGAAGTTTAGTGTTTGGATAGCATCTTTCAAATGTGAAAGCCCCCGTTACACAAACCCACACTTCCCACTGTATTTGGTGGTAAGTGTAACAGACTACATAGTGTGTAGCAAGACTGGACACCTTCTTTTGAACTCTGCGTACAGTACTAAATGGCAGTCTCTTTCTTCCTTTGCTTTCCCGTGCTCCTCCAGCAGCGATGTTGTAGGCAGAGCCGCAAGTTGCAATGTTTAAGTGGGCGTGGCATCATTAAATCTTTATGGGTCCCTACAGCATGAGGAGCTATTTATGTTTTATTGCATGCTAAATATGGAATAATATTGATTTAAACGTGTTAACCAGAAGCTCATTTGTCCCTGAGAATAAAAGCCAAGGCTCTTGTGATTAGATGCTGTTTAAAATTTAAATACCTTCAATACTGTGTTCAGGAAAGAGATCCATCTTCTTGAGTATGGTGGTTTTATTGCTATGCAGAAGTAGGCCCAATCAGAACAAGTTAAACTACTTCAAAGCATAAATAGTTTTTAAAATATTGAAATTTTCATCAGTGTTCTGGGTTTTTGAAAGGATGGAAAGTGCGTATACTTTTCTTTATACAATAAAACATAGAAACTGTTCATTTTCTTTAAAAGAAATAATGGATCACGGAGTTCAGAAAGAAACAATAGGCATTCTTTAGGTCTAGACAGCTCTACCACTTTTAAAGCATATATCTATAATTTCAAAATAAAATTATTGGTTCTAAATGTGAATCCTGAAACGAAAGCTCTGACAGCAGTGCGTTACCGGGTATGAAAGAAAAATAGTCCGACTATAATCTCCATGTTCTTTGCCGCTGCTATTTTGTCATCACTGTAAGCCATTGTAAGGAGGCTTATGATATAGATAATAACAGTCGGCACGTCTTGCTATAAAAGCCTGAGAACCCAAAGACATGATGTACTGGCTGCCTTGATTTGGTTTAAACAACAGCACAGACTGGACAGACATTTGGAACATATGACTGCCACCTTGTGGTGCAATGAAATATTACAACAACGCAGCTCTAACAATATTTGTTTTCTGAGATTTAAAACACTATTATTGTTGTTGTTGTTGTTGTTGTTTTATTGTGATTGTATCCCTACTAAGAGCTTATTGTGAATTACTGGCTTGGATTTACTTGGAATTCTAAAATGCTAGAATGACTTAGTAGCTGGAAAGTCTGTAGGAAATAACTTCCCCCATCCTGTGAAAATCCATTATAAAAATAGAATAAGCTCACATTTTCTCAAGAATTAGTCAGTGATTATGAGTTCCAAAAGATGAATCCCAGAAAAGTTAGCTCACATTATTCCCCTTCTTGACAGCACAAACCACAAGGGGCTCAAGACTTGCAGACCTGGACATGGATGTTTAATCTTCTTCCCCCTCCTCCTCCTCCTCCTCCTCCTCCTCCTCCTCCTCCTCCTCCTCCTCCTCAT